AGGGTTTCACCATGTTGACCAGGATGGTCTCGATCTCTTGACCTCGTGATCCACCTGCCTCGGCCTCCCAAAGTGCTGGGATTACAGGCTTGAGCCACCGCGCCCGGCCCTAATTTTTGTATTTTTTTTTAGTAAAGATGGGGTTTCACCATGTTAGCCAGGTTGGTCTCTAACTTCTGACCTCATGATCCACCAGCCTCAAGTGCTGGGATTACAGGCGTGAGCCCCCACACCTGGCCAGGTGCTTTGTAAATATTCTTGCCTTCCAGCCCTGGACCTTCAGGGAGGCCTGGCTGCACTTGGGGAGGGATACGATGCTCCAGGTCAGCTCCAGATGACAGATGTGGCAGCTGAGGCCACCTGCCCAGAATCACCAGTGATGCCATTAGATAACATGGCTGCCTTCCTCACCAGACTAGCCATTTTGTGTTGGGTCCCAGGGCCTGGGCTGGGGGCCTAACAGGACCTGGAATCCTGAATACCCAGGAGGCAGGTGGCTGCCCCGTCACTGCCCTGCCCTGGGGCTGGCCCACCCCGAACTGCATTTGGGCCCAGGAACAGAGGGAAGGGCAGAATGACCTTTGCCTGGAGGCTGCAGTTTAGCCCTTCAGGGCTTAGTGACCACCCTGCCTGAGGTCCCCACAAAGCCCCTGCGCTCCCTGCCAGGAAGGCCCCACCCACCTCCTGCTCACTCCAGATGCAAACCGCTTGCTTTCATTTATAGCACGATGTCCTGGAAGAGTCCCGGGGCAGCACAGGACACATACACATATACACAAGTGTGCATGCATCTCATGTTTCCCCATATTTAGAACAGGGCTCCAGTGGGTCCCCAGTCAGCATTTGCTGAGAAAGTGGACACATGCAGCCCAAGGTCAGGCCACACACACAAACACATGTGTGTTCAGCTTCACACAAGCACACTTTGAATGCATGTTCAGCCGTGCACACACATGCACATCACCTCACACACAGGCACACTGCACCCCCCACACTTTAAGTGCATGTTTATTAGCCTTGCACACGTGACCATCCTGCCCACATGCACATGCGTGTTCAACCTCACACACACTGCACCCCTGTACACATGCATGCTCAGCCTTGCACACACTGCACCCCTGCCTGCTTAGCCTTGCACCCACACATGCACACTGCATCCCTGCACACATGCATGCTCAGCCTTGCACACACACATGTACACTGCACCCCTGCATGCTGCATGCTCAGCCTTGCACACACATGCACTGCACCCCTGCATGCTCAGCCTTGCACACTGCAAGCTCACTGTGCCTACAAGGACTTTGCATGCATGGGCAGCCTTACCCAGAACAAGCGCCCAGCACCCCCCAGGGCTGCCTCTGCAGTCTCTCTCTCCTTATAAGGCCTCTTTTTGTAAGGTGAGGGCCCAGGAAGCCACCTCGGCGCCCTCAGCCATGTCAGCAGGCCTGATGGGGGTTTCCCTGAGTGCTTCCTGTTCCTGGGCTGGGGCATCACTGCCCACATCCGATGCCAACCCTGTGCA